CATACTTTGCGTAGGAATGTTCGTACACACTGATGATAAATGAGGCCCCAGGAGATCATCACGAAGAGGAGTGGAGCTAAACCCCAGAGGAGACATGCAACAGGACTGTTAACAATTCAAAGAGCTGTTTGACTGATGTGGTGGTGTTCTATCATTACTGACAAATGCTATGAACAAGGTTGGCTTGGCTTGTTTTATTCAGAACTAATAATAAAAAGCTGAATAGTGACAATTCATGACAGACATTTGTAACACAATGTCTGTTTCCAGCCAGAGGAAAGGGCTCATTCAAGAAGGGATCCCTGATTCCCTCCATATTCTGAAAGCTCCAATAGATTTCATTTAATATGGGATATGAAATGCTGAAGTAAGAGTACGTTCAGTTTGATTGGCTAGCATCAATAGCATGCGTTTGTCTCACCACAGTTTTGGTGGCTGGAGTTGAAAGTAAAGACATTTGGCTGATGGAATAAAAAAGATTTTGAAAAGTTGGTTTTGGCCAGACCTCATGCTAAAATTAAAATGACACAATTACACAAAACTGCCACTAAAACTATGCCTCACATGGGGCACCAAAGTATCTGGACACAAATATTAAAATCAGTCTCCAGTCTCGTCAGTAATTGAATTGTTGCTCTTGCTGCTTCTACAGCTAGCTGGCAGGCTAGGTGTGGTAGCCCTGGCACTAACTAAACTAGTTTACACTGGGTTAGCAGTACACACCTGATCTTTAGCCTCTGCACCCCAGAACCTCAATGACCTGAAGGCTACCCTTCAAGAAGAGTGTGAGGCCATGCCTCAGCAGACAGCAAGTGGACGTGTGAACAGCATGAGGCTGTGATTGATGCTCAAAGGCACATGACAGTTATTGAGACAGTGACGTGTTTGCTTGTGGTTCCCACCACTGCTGTTGGCTTTTGTTTCAATAAACTGAGATGAGGAACCCACCAATGCATGCTCTACTTTCATGATGTAATACCACCATGAACGTTTTACATTTTCTATAAATTTCACCTCAACGTACAGCCCGGTAGCTGTCTAATATCACAATGTAAATGTGTATGTTACATTCTTTTGGTCTCGTCTTGTGCATTTATTTGAGACAGTAATGACAGTAATCTGTTTTTAAATGTAGTGATGCAGTTTAGTTTTATCTTTGTCAAAGGTGGGGCTCAAATAAAATGACTCATTTTTATTTACTTAACATAAATTCCATCCGCTGTAAATAAATGCGAGCAGCTTACAGAGCGTAGTGGTGTAGCACAACGCTGTTCTATTCTACGTACTACACTACCATACCATACACTATGCTATGGTGTACTTTATCATAGTTACCATATTACATTACTGTCCACTATATTAAACTGTACCAGAGCCTACAGCACGACACTATATGGAAGGATACGATTTAATGCCACAGCACAGAAGGACACGATGCTATGCCATCCTTTGGGTGGATATGATATTGATTTTAATCTCACATTATATTGCATTATGTAAAGCTATGCTATACTACACTATAGCATGCTCCACTAAACCATGGTAAAGAGCGCTGTACTGTCAGGTACCAGTATACTGTAAGCTCATCCACTGGTATTTGCTCCCTTCTTCTCATTGCCAGTATCTGCTGTCTTAAATGCAACAGTGGCTGTAATCCCACCAAGCAGATTCCCACTAATCAGGGTCAGATTCAAGCCCCTTACAGCCCCGATAATCTCTCCTTCAGCTCACTCTTACTCTAAAGCCCCCTCTCCCCTTACTCCAGCCTCATTCTTCTTGACATTTCCTAATGATGCATGCGACCACTTGTCAGTGAAGCGCAGGCTATCCTGCTGGGTAAACACTTATACTATACATTAAGCCAGAAACCAGCTTCAGTCTGTCCCAGTACGTGTCAGATGCAGTACGCCAGCACATACCTGGATGTCCATCTACGTCCAGTCGCATTGTGCCTGGTTGTCTTAATCCTGAAATGAGCACAGGATTCTAGTTTTCCTCCAGATCCAGAGTGAGCCATCGCCTTTGACTGTAAGCTTGAGGAGCATCTGTCCGCCCTGTCTGCTGGTACCCAGCAGGTGCCCAACTGCTCTGGTTCCCAGCTGTCTGCTTGTTCTGTGTCCTGCCCTGAACCCAGCCGTACCCAGCCTCAGAGGACTGCTGTCCAGCCTCCAGAGCAGCTCCACCTTCTCCCGAGACCCTCAGTTCCCCTTCACACTGCTGCTGGACTGTCCAGCCGGACCCTTGGACTCCTCTGCTTTATTTGGTTGGGTTAACATGGTTCTTATTCATCAAACGTTTGAGTTTGTATACCTAGTGGCTGCACAAACTCATGGCAACCCAGAAAATACAGTTGGGAGGAAACACAATGTCACCCGTAACCAAAGTATTTGTCTTTCTTGTGCCAGTGTTGTAGTGAAACCAGCCTAGTAAATCTGCCAGATAGGATGTGCTGGGAAGCTGTGATATGAAGTCCTGCGTCTTGTGCACCCACATCCTCTGTGACACCCAGTTTGTCTAGAAGCACGTAAAGGCGATTATTAAACTGGGCTTTAGGAAGTCTATGCTGAGAAGTGGGCTGATGTAAACTGAGCCAAGGGCACGTTGAAAACATTTCATCTTGAGCAAAACAAAGTGTTCTCAGACTCTATGACCCCAAATGGATGTACAGCCAAAGGACACCTTTTGAGTTGTAGTAAAATTAAATTCACGATACATTCAGACTGCCTCAGAAGCCCTACTATGGAGTTGTGTTCTTCTTTTTTGCTTGCTTACCACCCTAAAAAGAAATCTGACATTTCTAAAACATGATCACTGGTGTGGGGTATTGACGTTGGTGTTTAAACTGCAAAGGGACGTTTCCAGGGTAACACTCCAGCTAGCGCCTGGTTGACTTACTGCAAAGTCAAATAAGACTTTTGCTTGTTTGCCCTGCTTTTTTAAATGTCAGTTTCTTTAATCGCTGCAGTGTGGTGGGTAGTGCTACGTTATTACAGTCAGAATGGCCACATTTACCAGCTATCATGTACAAACTGGTCAGTCTGGTTCTGTCTGAGCTTGTCCCCCTCCCATTGTTTTTTTTTTTTGGTTCCTTCCCACCATTGCCAACCGCTGGCTCAGAGGGAGTCCAAAGGCTGCTCTGGATTGTTGGGTTGTCTGTTCAAATTCCTGAGGTCTCTACCTGACTGTGTGAAGGCTGTGAGGTGACGTGTTGTGAACTGCACTATACAAATAAAATGGAATTGAACTGAATTGAATGTGCCACTTAATGGCAGTCACACTACAATGAACTACGACCACCACATGTCGTGAAAAGCCAAACCCCTGTAACATTTGGTTTCTGTGGATGTTACGTCACTGGTGAGAGTTATGAGTTGTTCTTCCTGTGAAGACCTCATGCTGACGCTGTCCACTGGATTTACTGACCTGTCTGCTGCTGATCAGATTTATGATCTCCTTTCACTAAGTGCAGTGGTCCCAGCTCATGAATAATAAGAACCTCCTCTGACGGAGTGGTGAGTCTTAGGTCTGAATATCATGCAAGGTCACACTGAGAAAAATCAATGACTTACCCTGTTTTCTCACGTACTCTTTGAATTACCAGACTTCTTCTGAAAACAGGGCTTTCTCTGTAAATCCAGCATATAGCTGGTGTATGATTTAGTCTAATTTAAACTATTTGTATTGTTTATCCAGACATGAATAAAACACTTCCAGAGTTCTACATTTCATACTCGACAACCTTCTCAGTAGACTTGTTTTGTTGGTCGATAACCTGAGCTGACATCATGTACTGTAGACGCTACAGCAGAAGATAGTTTAAAACTTATCTCAAGTCAGCAAGAGAACTGGATTAATACAAAATACAAGTTACAAGAAAAACACGATGATACTGAACACAACGTACAGGACAATCCATTTGTACGTGACGGATCTCCCAGACAGCGTCAACTTCAGTTTGAAATGGTTCCAGCTGTTTTGCTCCAGAACTTACAGATGTAGTCTGAGCATCTGAGGAGATGGAGATTACTGTCCTCACAACCCAAGGACAGGTTTCACTTAAGGGCACTGAAGGTAGGCTGAGCCTGTACCCCACTCTTCACCACTTTTCAAACGATGCCATGTTTGGAGCAAGGCTTGGGGCAGAATTGTGCTTTGATGTTTAGTACTAAGCATTTAGAACTGTTCTACAGTTTGTACGTAGTGCAAAGAACAGGGAGAGGGGAGCTGAAGACAGACTTCTGTTAGATGCAAATACAACAATATCATCTGCATACATGGAAATCTGCCCCATAACACAGTTCTGCAAAATAGCTTCTGCAGCATGAACAAGATGAGGCTTGTGGACTCTGTTGTGTCGTCCAGTACATCCAGAATCTGAACCACTGTTTGGGTTTTATCATTGAAGTTACATTTGATAAGACCGTTGTAGTTGTGCTCAAGATGCAGAAAGCTGCCCCACCTCGTCTTTATCTGGGGAGGCTTCACATCTGTTACGTAGTGTTTTCTCCTACGAGTCACTGTCTTGTGCATCTCACCAACATCCACATCTCCACCTGCCTGGTCCAGCTGAGTGTGGAGCAGCCTCACTGAGGGATGAGGGGGAGGGGGAGGGGG